CACGATTAAAATAATGTGTGTGTGTGTGTATTTAATTATGGCAAAGCACACTAGGGCTATCTGCCTGAGGGGAGGGATGCCTTCGTGGAGGACTTTCTAAGGGAAACTGGCTCGTATACACGTTACACATGGGGAAAACCACGAAAACGCCCATGCAGCCAGCCCGTTCGCGGGATTCAAACCTCGGACTGAACTTCCAGTGTTCAGCGTCTCTACCGGTCGGCCGCTGGTGGGCCAAATCAAAGATCTTATTATACTGTCCGGTTTCGCAAAGGTATGATTATTTTGCCAAAGTATGATTTTCTTTGGGGGAGGAAACTTTTTAGTAAAATGCCTGTCAAGACTTAACCTAATTGATTATTAAAGTACAACTTGCTTAACTTTTCAGTGTTCTCGGCAAATATTTTTATCTTTGCATTTTTACAGAGTTCTGGATTTCAAGAATACAAATAAAAAATAAAATTAAATAATAAGTTTTTCAGTGCTATGTTTTATAAATGCATGTAAAATTTAGCAAACCTAATTCACCTGCAATTGAAGGATCTCGGAATTCCATAAAAAAGTTAAATGCGTGCTGCACAACAAAGAGCTTCATTTCATTGTCTAGACAACCCAGCTTCGTTAAGAAAAAAATCTAGATTCACCTGGACGGCCGAAGCCAATACTACTTTTGAAAAATTACAACAAGCGTTAACACAAGCCTCTGTTTTGAAACTTCCTGAGAACGATGAAAATTTAGAAATTGTGGCAGACGCATCGGATTATGCTATAAGAGCGGTACTTTCAGACCTAAATGCTAGCACATATAAGGAATCACTTACCAAAAAATAATCAGTAAATATGTAAGCGGCTTACAAAGAGATAGCACATGTGACGTCGCTGATGCCGACTTCCTAAAAGTTACGTATTTTTCGTTATTTATGCTACATCTAATTTGCTTTCTGGTGAAGGATGGAAGGAAAAACAGAAGGTGCAGAAAAGAATTAACATATAAATAACGTGTTGTTTAAAGTACACCTTATAATTTCATAAAAAATGTGCTGCCAGTTTTTTAAACATCAGAATGCTTCCAATGTTAGTACTCATTTTTCGATTCTTCCGTTCACTATTAATCTGATTTTATAATTTATCATGAATCGCAACTAATCATAATCGAAATTAAATTGCAATATTATCAAATTTTGCCAGAATGATATATAACTCTTTATAATGAGCACATTTTATTCAAAAACAGGACTGTGTGATATAACTTTTCATAACAGTCTTAAAGCATACATTTAAGAGACATTTATTTTTTTATCTGAATTTAACTGAGGTCCTCGGAGTAGCACTTTCTTAAATTTATCGCTTTTACTTCATTATAAAGAAAATGAGATTCTGCATTTCCTTACTTTGGTCCAAAGTTTAAAAGTAAATTTTTTTACCTTGGATGTCTTTTAATGGTTTAAAAAAATATATTTTAAAAGAAATTTGATAAAGACTTTTAAAGAATTATACCATCTTACGGGCAAAAAGTACTCTTCTGTGAAAAATTATAAACGAAATTAAAAAAATAATAATAATAAAATAAATAAAAATTAAAGTACATAGACCAACCACCCTTTCAAGCTGCCTTTTTTTTATCCCTGAGGGAATAAGTTTGGGAAACAAAAAGGACTTCACAACAGCTTCCCAAATCTTTAAACAAAGAATAGGGAAGCGTCAGGGAATTAAAAAATAAAAGGCATAAATTGCACTTGAACAAAACATTTGCTACTGCGGACGTTGCTTTTGAAAAAGCCCACCCATTGCGGCAAGTCAAAGGAAATTTCATGTGCCTTCACATTAAAAAAAGCTAAAAAAATCAAAATAATGCAGAAAAAGAAATGAACTGAAACATTATCAACACTGTGAGAATTTTTTTTTTCCTTCTTCTAAACAAAGGTGAAAATATTTTTTATTTTAAGATACTCTTGTATTTTCAAACAAAAGGAGCGAATCGAGACTGGAGTAAAGGAAATGCATTTGCACTGTTGTAGATTATTATTATTTATTTATTTTTTTTTTTTTTACGCCTGTTTATCCTTTTTTATTCGCCCGCGTAGTCGCTGGGGGTAGCAACTAGGCGTTATCTTTTGAAAAGCGAGGTAGAAAGTTGCATGTCGGGAAACCGTAATTCCCTCCCGTGTTATCTTCCCCACTCAAATCGGTAAGTGAGAGCTTTTCATTAAAAAAAAAAAAAAAAAAAAAAATTAATTATTTTTCTCATCAAGCATCTTTTTAAAGTCATGCACTCTCCCTCAGTGGAACATTTTCTCTTTGATTTTATTTAAAACCTTGCTAAAACTTGAAAAAGATAGGCTGCGCGTGGTTTGAGACTTTCTGAAATTTTAAAATAGTCATATTATATATATATATATATATATATATATATATATATATATATATATGTCTCCGACTTATCTCACTTGTCCAGAAACATCAAAACAAGCCCATGAAATTCACCATGGCGAGGAGTGCAAGATTGCACTTGTCATTGGCCATAACTCGGAGCGCCAAACAGGTGACAGTACGATTTTGCTCAGTACCACCCCCAATTTTGAAGAAGCACTCCGAGGGGACAGATCTGAGGGTCTCCAATTCCTCCCTACGTCCAGCCTCTTGAGAGGAGTTTCGGCTCGCCACATATTTAGATCCCCCCCCCATGCCGCACAGACACTATACATTTACAAACATCTTCTCCGGTATTCGAACTCGGGCCCTTCGGTTACGGCAGTCAATGTCGCTAACCACTATTCCGGTTGAAGGGAAAAAATAATCTTTTCAATGTTGTTATCCACATAAAGAAGCAAAATGAAAGTGGTATTGTTAGAAAGATACTTTTACTCTATGCTGACGAATGTTATTTGAATTGCATAAAAATATTTTGTTATTTAATAATTAAAGGTTGAATATAATGTTTTCAGTTTACAAAACAGTTTCAGTTTATTTTCTGTTTTTATCTAAAGAATCGATGGTACGTGAAGTAATGGTCATTTGGCAATGAACACATTTGCGATAAATGATGTTTATGCAGCAGAAATATTACGAGAATTATATACAATTCCATATGTGGTAACATCAGTTTAGTAATTTTTAAAGCAATATTATTTTTCCTTGGAAGTTCGAATTCATTTCTACGTGTTTTTTCTTTTACAGAAATTTAGATACTTAGTTATTTAAAAAAGATCGGTTTATCATTCTACAGTTATCTTCAAACATTATACATAGATAGATAAACAGATATTAATGGCGCAGTAAAATCCTCTTTTTAGCCCAAAGGGACGTTAGACCAAAAGGGCTGTTTAGTCTGAAAACGGCATTTTGCGTCGTTTCATTTTCTGCTTTGGTTCACTTTTCAAACTGTTGCCACCAAATATTATTGCCATGTATTATATTTAAAGAAACTAAATAATGAAGAATCTGTACGAATGTTTCTCACATTATGAAAAAACAACGGTACCTAGAGCCATCGAAGTTTGAAGTAGTCCTCCAATTGAACATGTGCATTTGGAAGTTTGATTTTCGAAACTGTTTTATTATCTATTTCAAATTTTGTAAAACTTCAAAGAATTTTTGATTAACAAACTCAACAATTTCAAGAAAAAACATTTTTATTTCCAACGCGTGAGATTATGTTGTTGCAATTGTTTGCAAGGTTGAGACCTTGCCAGCCAAAGATGTGCAGAATGTTTGCCATCAAAGTCTGAGCTCGAATTAACACTCGAAAGGCAAGTTTTCGGGTTTATCCATTTTGTGCACTCTGTGAGTTTTTCACCAAACTGATTATGCAATTTTTGGTCTCGTTTATTCGCTCTCCCAACACTGTTGTAAGTTCAGGTTGAAATTCTAATATTTCTCTTTTCTGCCTCTCAGAGTGGAATGCCACCCTATGTTCTATGGTAATTATTGCTCATCTGGATGAGTACTATCACTCCTCGTAATTTGTAAAAGCAATTTAGAACCATCTTGTATGTATTTAAACAATGATATCTGATAAAAGTGATAACGTTAGAAAAGTTGAAAAGTTGCTATTGATTATCAACTGCAGTGCATAAAATTGTCTGTGTGTATTGGTTGAAAGTTAAAATAATTAACAATGCAGTACACTATAATAAACGATCGTGGAGGTGTTGACACATGATGTTTTTGTTGTACGCACAATGCTCTGAAGAGAGATTTCACTTATCAGATAAAAAATGAGCCATAATATGGGAAATACATATATTTAAAATCGTATTGTTCGATAAATTTGAAATGTTTGAATTGACTGGCGAAGTTATTACTAGGCATGTTATAAGTATAGCGAAGCATTTGGCTTCCTATTTATAGAGAATGATAAGCTGAGAATCAATTAAAAAAAGCACTATGATATGGTTCACAGTCTTATTTTTGTGAGAAGCATTTGGCTTTATGAGAATGAGAAGCTGAGAAGAATCAATTAAAAAAAGCACTATGATATGGTTCACAGTCTTTTTGTGAGAAGCATTTGGCTTCCTATTTATAGAGAATGATAAGCTGAGAATCAATTAAAAAAAGCACTATGATATGGTTCACAGTCTTATTTTTGTGAGAAGCATTTGGCTTCCTATTTATAGAGAATGATAAGCTGAGAATCAATTAAAAAAAGCACTATGATATGGTTCACAGTCTTATTTTTGTGAGAAGCGAACTAAGCAGCCTACTTCAGTGTATTGATTACATTGCAGTCTGCAATGCACGGATTAGGATTATCGAAAATCTTACTGTCGACATACGATCAACACTGCAACTCAAAATCCTAAGCCAATTTCAAGCCTATGCTACTGTTGATTCTATATTGGTGTAAATTTTAAGTAGGTACTCTAAAAATACTTTAATTAAGCTCACTGCCTTTCTACAATGCGCCATTGCTAGTTTTATCTAGTCTGTGACTATTTCGACTGTACGCCGTTGTTAATTTTATACCGATGTCGACCCTATACAATGTCCGTTCTATGACTATGTCGATGGTTCGTCTATGTGGATTCTACGCAGAGTCCATCCTATGCCTACGTCAGTTCTACGCCGTGGCACTGCTATGTGATGTGGATGGTATGCTGATGTCAACTCTATGCAAGGTCTGTCCTATGCCTATGTCGATTTTTAGCCATGTCGATGCTATGTGGTGTCGATGGCAGGTGATGTCGATTTTATGCTATGTCCATCCCATGTCATGTATTAGTGCATAAATGTTTTCGAAACTTTTGTAATACACTTTGTATATAAAAAAATTATGCAAATAAACACATGTGTTATGCACTTTCTTAAGAAATTTACCTGAAAAATAGCAATAGAATCATTGTTATAACGTAAAATTTAGTGTTTTGCTTTTGAATATCTTACACGCTTGAATTTGTTGCTACATTTTGGAACAGTTTACGTGTTTGAATTCTTTGCTTCTACCTTTAGGAATAGTTTATTTATTTGGATTCTTTTCTTTTTCTTTTGCAAGAAAAATGCATGTTCATTAAAATCGCAGATTTGAGCGCTTTTACTTGCTTTCGGGTAGTTAAACGAATTCCTTTCCGTATAGTTTACATATTCGAATTCTTTGCATTTTCCTTTTGTAGAAAAAGAATACATACTACTCTTTCCTTCTTCCTCAAATACAGCTTAATATATTTGAATGCATCTCTTCTTTTTTCCTCTTCTGTAAGGATGTATGTTACTTCTAAAACTCTATTTATGTAACTTACACTGGAAAGTGTTAAACAGTTACTATTTGTAAAGACTAATGCAAAAGTATAATACTATAATAAGCATAAAAGATAAATATTAATGGAAGGTTTTGATAATCGTTGAAATCCTATTCATCATTCATTATGATGTTGTGACGTGATCCTCATGGAAATGCCAATTGTAAAACGTAGCTTGCTTCAGTTCTCTTGAATGTACTCACTCAGAGTTAGTAACATTTCCTTTAAACAAGGCATTTCACAGCGTAGAAGCCATCACAAAAGATGCCATCAAATGTCAGCATTTAACAGACTCCAAGGCACACGCTTCTGAATCGATGGTATCCTAAAGAAAACATTAAAACCTCCCGTGTCTACGCTACTAGGCATCTCGGCTTATCCTCGGAATTTTATGCTTCATTTTCCAGAACAGCCAGACGCTATCTCTACGCTGTAATCGCTAGCGGTGCGGAGGAGAATATGAGACATAATGCCCTGTTCTGGCATAGTTATCGACGAAACTTGGCACATCTCTGTCTCCAGAGCGTTCCCTGCCTCCGTGTTCTGGTTTATAGTTGGTCCTTATTGAAGTTGCGAGTTTGGGTCTTGAATTATGGCGGTCTTATGCGTCGCTGGCGTTTCTATATCGACAGTAAAATTAATTCGTTTTTGAACTCGTTTGTTTAAATAAAGAATAAATGTCACTTTTGTTTGGATGTTTTCAGGGTTCATTGAAAGCACTATTATATAGAGCATGTACGATTGTTTCATGTCTAACGAAGTGCTTCATCATGTGGAACACTATTTACTGTTGATATAAGCTAAAACTATTTAATTTAGACATTCACAAGGGGAAAAAATCTAATTCAGAAAAGAAAAAGAATTTTTTTTGTCTTTTTAAAGGACAAAAGATAAATAGATAATCAATAGATTTTAGAAACATTATGAGAATCTTCATATGGACTGAATTTGCACTTTAGTTTATATAACTTTAGTCTATTTAGTTTATATAAGAATAACGTTTTCGTGTATAAAAATAATACCTTAAAACCATGATATGAAGAAATTGTTATCTTTCAAATATGTCAAAACTTTTGGTACGTCATCTGTCTTTGAATTTTACATAGATTTAATAGAACTTCCCTTAAAAATTATATATGATAAACCTTTTTCTGTATACATATTTTCGTAGAAATTTATGACTATGAAATATAAAAGATTGTCTTAAGGTATTGTCTTTTAATGAAAAAAAATACTCAAATAATTTATTGTATTTAATAATAATAATAATAATAACAAAGATAGAAAGCAAAACATTTTTATCAACATTACATTTTATGGCAGTTTATCTAAAATTGATCAATTGCTAAGAAGTGTGGACCTATTCCTTCTTCATTAAATATTGTTTCACGTTTGGCTGGATCAAAAATTTTGTTTCAGACAAAACGATGGCTTTGGGCCCGTCTTCGGCCCAATTTTTATCAACTTCTTACGTTTGGACATCTGTCCTTGTTTCCATCTAAATAGATATTCTGAATCTATTTTTGTATACAGTTTTAGTGCCATCTTTATTACTAAACTCCCTATCTTACATTAATGGGCACAAAATAAATTGAAAATCAAAAACGCTTTTGTGTGTTTTACAAATGTTTTTAGGCTTAAATATCTGAATAATTTTAGATATTTCATGCCTATCTGTAAACATTTTAAAGCCCGACTAAATATTAATTTAAAATTCAAATAATTGATATAAGACAAGGCACAACGGTAATTTGGGACTCGAATTAGTTACGCAAAATTACCGTTTATAAATCGAGATAACAATGAATCAGAATCGAAAAAAACCTAACATTATCGCATACTATACAAACATTGTCAAATTTTATACTTTTCTATTTATATGAACGAATTTTTTTATAACAATGTCCCCACGTAATGGTGCGAGCACCTTTGTACAAGTCGGCTACCGTTATGCGTGCAACCTTACCGAAATCAGTTTCTAATTTGAACAAAACATATAAGGTATTTCTCCCACTTCCCAAGCGTCCTTCGTGGTGTAGTGGTTCTGCACGCTGGGCCGGTATTCCAGAGGTCCGTAGTTCGATTCCCGGCGAAGGCGGTTGCTATTTTTCCTCTTTCCTGCTTCCAATTAACCTAATGACTCTACAAACATACATCATGAATGTTCCGGGAAATTCTATCACTTGATTTGCGGACCACAGTCGCGTACTAAACTCCTTCTTGTATAGCGATGCTTCGGATAAAGCGGACAGCGGCTTTATGAAGTATATCTTGTCCAAATTAGGAACTGATCTTCATAAAAATTCTGGTATGAAGGGATGAAGGATGCCAGAGATAAAAGTTTCTGTTTTTTCGAAGTGCTCGACTTGCATGAAGTACTTTTACGATGCCGAAAATTATGAAGTTGTCATGAGTACAAAAGCGTTTGTCATAGTACCAAAAGCGCTACATATACAGTACCAAAAGCGTTTCATACCAAGCTATCCTCTTTTGAATAAGGAGCTTTCTGTGGTATTTTGTGTTGGTATGGAATGTGAAGCTCTGCACTATTTGATGACAACCATCTACGAAAAAGAAAATTATGGGACAGAATATGAACTATAGTGAGGTTAAAAGAAATGAGATTATTATGTTATCTGGTTGTCAGGAAAGAAAACACGGTGGAAATAGCAACTAGTCAAAGTTTAATAATCGTCTGGGCTTATATGGCTGGACCCTAGATTTTAGGAGTCTCCACACCATTCTGTAGTTTTTGTAATCTAATTTTCCCACACGAATATAGGAAAGTTGGCATGAAATATTTCCAAAAGGATGTAATGTCTAAAGGCCAACTCCATCTTAATCGGGCCTTATGGCTTCATAGGATAATGACATGGCTGGATGGAGCAGAATATCTTCATTACTTAGTTAAAGAACTAAACTTAATTTAGCTTAAAATCAAGACTTCCAAAGCTTGATTTGTGAAAAAATACGAGCATCTGAATCTCGTTGCTCGAACACGCATAACATTCATAGGGGGAAAAAAGTAAAGTATCTTTTTTACCCCTGGGAAAATCCATTCCAGTAGCAAGAACCTTTTCTCAAATTACGGTGGCGACAAACTGTGATTATCAAGGGACCATTCGCTTTCATTCTGCGTCTCACTCGAATTCCAAATCGGTGGTGCACGTGAGTTGTGACGAAGATGAAATCTCCGGGAGTGACACTTCGCGTTCCCTATCAGCGGGACTCTTGGATCCGACAAGTGCAGCCGGGGTCGCTTTGGTTCTGGGTCCCCGACTATCACGATAACGCAGCTTCTCTCCACCCCTCTCTCCCGCCTCTCCTTTCCAGACCAACGCGGTCGCGACACGCGTCCTGTGCGTTTGATGGGCATTATTCGTTCTGGACACCCGGCTAAAGTGTCGCTGGTGAGGCGACCCCATCTGCCTTCCCAAGTTTCCTGTGGTTTTGGGGTGATTCTGAATAAAAGGTTCATTGATTAAGAGGCCTTTGTGTAGAGAAATACGCAAACTGTCATTTTTACCTTATTGTTGTTTGAAATCATGTAGGAAATTGTGCAGCTTTAAAAATATTCACTGAAGAAGAGAAATCAACCGGCAGGCAAAAATGAGCAATTTTAAAAATAAAAGTGAAACATGGCAGCTGATATAAGACTGATTTAATCTCAGTGATTGACGAAAATATTCATTATGGCATAAGAATATAATGATAAATTTCCATTTATATTTCAAAAAAATTGCACCGTTTCTGAATTCTTTTAGGAATAATGATTAATTTTTAGAATTCTAATTGCAGGATTTTTTTTTTTTTTTTTTTTTTTTCATCAAGGAATAATTATATATTTAGGTGAATTCCAAATAAAAGCCTTGTCGACTAGTATTTTAATCTGACATGTATAAAGTTTTCGCTTTTATAAAATAAAATATCTTCAGTCGTATCTTAAATATTTTTCCTCAGTTAGGATGTTTTTCTTTTAGAATTTTGTAAAATTAATATTCCTGTTTATTTTGAAGGATTTATTTTTACTCATTCGTGGCTTAAGAATAAAAGATCTTTAAAAATAGAAATATAAAAATATAAAAAAAAAACTTTAGAAAAAAAAATCAGTCATATTTTTACTCTTCTCTCGCTCGTCATTAATGGCAATATGCTAAGTCATTAAAAGCAAATACACTTAAAACCATATCTTTTTCAAACTCAAATTTTCTTCAGCTTTCTTTGATAATGTAGTGAATTCATTTTTATAATATTCAAAATAGTATAAAATATGTTGGTTTGCATTTATCATAGTTGGTAATTCAGAAATATTTGTAAGAAAATATTAATTGATAATAAACTATTATTTTAACTCTTCAATAAGATGAAGGCATTCACCTGTTTATTTTCTGCACACTTACTGTTTATAATCTTTAAATATCGTGTATTAATCTGTATATGTT